ACTCGTGAGCTAACCCGCTGTAGGCGCGCAAAACGGGACGTCCCGTCAAATACAGTTTTAATTCTTTGAAAGTTGTCCTCATTTTGTAACCATTTCATGGCCTCAACAGCTTTCATAGCACTAGTAAAGTGTAATACCGGCCCTCTAGACATGCCATCTAAATAAACATTAGTCTTAACGCCGCCGGACATTGTAATAGCCCTACAACCTCTATTTGTGCTTGCTACTAAACAGCCCTCAGTTGTAGCCATTGGCACATAATATAACTTATCATTTAGCAGCAACGGTCCGACTATACCTAACGGCACCGGTATGTACCCGATTACATTTTCACAGCACGCCCCCGAAACAAGTGTATAATCATAATTGGTGTATGGTACTTTTTCTAGAACCCTTTGTTTGTCTGACAACTTTTCAATGACACGCCTCCTGATGGCAACCCCTCTCCCGGCGTCGCCTAAAATGGATTCCAACTGATAGGCCGGTATGTGTTTGGTCTCCACTAAACACTGGATCTCCTGATCAGTCAACTCATGAATGCCATCCACTCTGTTGTATAACTCGAGTAAAGTGTGAATATCTCTGATATATTCAGGTTTATTATATATGGTTGGCTCAATTAATTCACTATTTGTGGGCACTTCGGTATCAGGTATGACTCGGTTATATTATAGCCTGAACGTCCACAGTGGTTACTTTTTGAACCCAAATTAATTGAGTAGTACAAGTAGTAGTAATTGATATCAACATACTAGTAATCAATTTAACAGTAAATGATTTAGTAAAAACGCAGTAAACTTATTGTTGACAATATTTTTTGTTAATAATGATGATTTACATTTGTAAATTAAAATTAAGATAGTAATAGGTAAACTGATTGTCATATACAATGTTACCAGGGTCATAAATATGCACATCATAATTGTTTTATGGATATGGATNTGCGTGTAAACTTATTGTTGACAATATTTTTTGTTAATAATGATGATTTACATTTGTAAATTAAAATTAAGATAGTAATAGGTAAACTGATTGTCATATACAATGTTACCAGGGTCATAAATATGCACATCATAATTGTTTTATGGATATGGATTAATTTGTGACTTGAAATTTGAAAATATACTTTGTGTTTTAATTATAGATATCCGTATATTTTGTCTATTGTTTGAGATCTAAGAAAGATTTATAAATTATTGCTAGATAATATTGCTTGATAGAATGTATAATACTATATTACTCACCATCAAAATTAGTGATAATATAACGGGTATATTGACAATAAGACTATATAATTGATATATTATCAATACACAATCTAAAACTTATTTGACTTTGAAGTCATTCCTTAGATAATGTTCCCAAACTGATTGTGAAAACATTTAACAAAGCATCCAGTATATTCGGACCTAGTATAGCCAATCCTGTTGCGATATTATAAACCTGGATATTTTCAGTCTTTACAAAAAAAATTATTATTATATTATTGTTATTAATGCTATTATTTTTGTAGTTACCTTATTAGAGTAGCAGACTCTGTTATTTTAAAATTATCATTTATAGACAATTTATATTAAAGCGATCCTAATGCGCTAAGTAAATTTATAATAAAATCTGGTGAAATAGTTTTAACAACTTTAAACATTTGTTTCTTATAATTAAATAAAGCAGATGTCCCTTAAATTACATAAATTGCTGGAATTTTCTTTCTATTAAGCTATTAAAACTTAATCCAATATTTCTTACCTTATATTTCTTAACTCAATAGATAAATATATATTTTAATAAATAATTTAATTTTATTACCTTTTGATCTTATTATTAATATAATAATAATAATAATATTTTATTTTAATATTCATATTTGATTAATAAATTCTATTTTTTGTTGTTAACATTAATGTACTAATTAACTAACTTATTATAATATTCTCATTAACATGTATTTATCATTTAGTAATATTTAAAATTGTTAGGTGAAATTTACAATAAAACACCTGAATTTACAAATTATAACTTAAACCTGCAAATGAAATCTATTATTGTGTTGGTGTTAATTATTATGTACTAAAATATACAAGTGTATCAGTGCATTATCCAGATATCTTTTAATGATGCTCATCAAAATGTTATTTACCTTTTAATTTTGTAACATATTTTATAATACTGGTTTAAAGCGGTTTGCTATCATTAATAACAAGGTTTATTTGTATTGTAGAATATACAATATAAGGTTATAAGGTTTACTAATTACTTATATAAACATCTAAAAAATTATTTATCTATGTATTTTTTAAACAAAATTAATTCTTGTATAATTTAAATTCAATACCAAATAAAATTCAATTTATTACCACCTACAATTTTTACAAAGAAAATTATTATTAGTAAGACCTCTATTATAGTGTTTTTTCAATTTTACATTATAAACCTAATCAATTTTAAATTATAATAAAATGCATTTTGAACATTTTTAATTAATTTATAATACATGCAAGTTTATTATCTTAAATTAAAAATATATATTTTAATTTGCCATTTCGCTTTCTAATCACTATAAAACTAATTAAACTTTATAAATTATAACTTATTAGCATGTTGTAAATGTTATGTCTATACTTTAATAGTTTTAAAATTATAAAATTATTAAGTATAAATAACTTAAATTATATTACAATCTAAATTTAAAACTCATTATTCAAAAACATCTAATTAATATATCTTTATTAAAATAATTTATTCTCTTATACTCAATTCGTAAAAGTAAATAAAATATTATTTTATTAAAATAATCATTTATCCCTTTTATATATCTTATCAAGCATTTCGTAAAATATGACCGGGCATAAGTTACTTTTGAATTTGAGATCATCAATCATAACACATATATCATTGTAAATGCATTCTTCGCATTCAGTATAAACCTCTTGAATATTTAAGTCGCGATAAATCTCTTTAACAATTGCAACACATTTCTCATCATTTATGCCATAATTAGTGTCAAGTGTTTGCCTCTGATTTTGATCACACATTTCCAATGCCTTAACTATAGGCCAACAACACTTGCCCTCCTGTATGTCTGTCCCAATCTTGCCAATTGTATCAGGGTTTCCAAAACAGTCCAGGTAGTCGTCTTGCATTTGAAATAAATGTCCAATTTTTAGCAGAATTGTCTCGGCCAGTTTATGCTCATCCTGGGAATTGCATGATGACATGTACATGGCTATTTTATAAATCAATAATAAATTATCTTGGAATAATATAATATTAGAAAATAATATTGGTAAGATAATTTACCTAGCCTTACTGGCAATACAAATGAATAAAATGCAGTTTTATATTTTATAATTGTATTATAACGGTCAGTCGTAAATAATACCAATTGTGCTGGCTCGTTTGGTGGGCTTGAGAGCATATCCATACATTGTCCATAGGATGTATACCTGGTGGTCTTTATATATTTAGCAAAATTTTTATTGCAATATTTTGTTATAATTAAAATTCTTA